ATGTTTTCATTTTCATTGCCTAAAAGGAGACACAAGAAGATTTGAGAGACCCTCCCTATAACAGTCCTTCCTCTTCCCAACATGCTCAAAGCACCTGTGCAAGATTGAGCTTCACCAGCAAGTGGCCAGCATCTCTTTCAGCATGTGGGAGCACTACATCTAGATACTATGTGAGCAGAGAGAGAAAAGAGGGGGAAGGAAAAGCAAAAAAAACTCCACAAGAATGGGAAAGGCAGCAAAATTAATTTCAAACAAGAAAAGAGGCAGCAGATAATGGAGAAATACAGGTGCTAAGGTAGCATTTGCTAAATAGATCTGGAGGAGGTTAATGAGTAGTGAAATGACAGGCCACTTTGCCATGTTTTAACAAGCCTGGGAAGGTATCCACCAAATACTGCATTTCCTCAGGTACCTGACAACTCTACATGGCACATGCAGACAGAAACAAATCTGCAACCTCTGCTGAGCCAGTCAGCCCCTTCTTTTCCAAACATCTGTCAGTCCTTGCAAGGAGAGCTGAAATCCTGGAGTACATTGGTGAATCTTGGATTATCAGAATCTTTGGCTTCTCCTGGCAAGCTGCCAGCCACCAAGGTACCAAGCCACCATCCACAGTCTAGAATTTCCATTCCAGGACCACACCACTGAAACAAAACTCTTAACTGGGATAAGCTCTGAATGACCAACAGCTTGGTCAGGCCCTATTTCCAATCCCTTTGGGCCACCAGACCCAGCTCACTTCTGAAGAGATTAGACAGTCATTCTGGTACTCACCATGACTATATTGGCCAAGTGAGCTGAGACAAGAGCATACACACCTCCAGAGGAGCCCACCACAGGAGCGGTCATATCAGCTACTGACACTGCCAGGGACCCTGGGAGAAAGAAGAAGGGTTTGTGACAATTACCAGCCACACTCTCTCCTACCTTAAATCCCTGCCTCTTTTGTTCTAATTGCTGCAGGTCAGTAATATACAGATAAAGAGAAGGAGGGGGAATCAACTGACTTGTAATTGACTCCATCCTGTAGTACTGATTGATTCTTTTGCATCCACTTTAAAAGCAGCCAAGCAAGGCAGCAGCAGATCTTCAGACCTATGCTGCAAAAAGCACTAACACCCTGACTAAAATAACAAGGAAGCAGGAGACAGAAAAATGTCCTTGTTGTGTTCCACACCTGGAAACAGAAGAAGCTCCTATGCTGGATGGACAAATATTTGCACAGTGAGAAAGAACTGAGGACTTGGAACTTAGCATAAGGCCTCTGATCAAAAGCACAGCCCGTTTTCATAAAACTTCAGAGTAAAACTAGCTAAAAAGAACCTGAATGGAGGCACTAAACACAAGATAGCAAAATGACAGGTCAATCACATAAAGGCACCATGAATAGCAACACATCCAAATATAGATACTGCTTCCCCTTATCCAAATTGGAGACTTGGATCTGCTCAAAGCTCTTTTCATTGCAAACTTTAAGAGCAATTAAAGAGATAGAGAGACAAAGGCAGATGTGGTGT